TGCACATAAAACAGTTCCTTCTCCTATCCGCTCCCCTACTCTGTCATAGAACTGGTCATATTTAATTACAGACCTGCCCTGCTATTAAGTTAGTAATGTCTCTCCCACAAAACTGACCACATGCTCAAAGTTCCTGAGCAGAATGTGTATCCGGTCTGTCCATCATTATTTACCCAATAGCTAGTGTGGAATCATGCACACAGTAAGTGCATAATAAATACTACTTTAAAAGGAAGAATGGGCTATAAATTACTCATCTAATGATATATTTTTGCTGAATAAATTCATTTTGAGGTAGAGGCAGTAATGGTATCTAGATGGGCAGATATGTATACAGACATTAGTAGATCTTAAGACAATTAAACTATACATAGAAAGCAAAACTGAACTAGTCTGTTAGATCACAATTATATAGGAACTAAACATGTTTTCCAACTCATTAACACATACATTCATTTACATTATATATATATAAAATATATATTTTAGATAGATATAATCTTCTGAAGAGAGTTTTTTTAATCCATTGAAGATTAGCTGCAGTTTCCCTTTGCCTGTGGCTCTTGCTACTATTAGTCAGAAACCAACAAGAATTCTTCATTTGAGGTAAAGAACTGGCAGATACCATGCTGACTCTAACCCAACACTCACTCTTTCCTGTCTCCTTCCTATTAAGCAGGAAACACTAAAATTCTGGAAACAAGATGTGTCACACATTGGAAATGTTCAAATCTGCTGATAACATCCAATCTCCCTCAGCTAACTGCATGAGGAAGCCACATGGTCACAACCTCATGTAAGATAGAACATAACCAGTAAACTCGAGCAACATTCCACGTGTTATCACTTTCAGCTTTGCACAACATGTGGAAACAGGCTCACTGTGCCACTTGCCTGTATCAGAACATCTAAGGGAGGAGGATGCACGTTTGGGATTTATTACAGTCACCTCAGGGAAGTGTCCAGAGGCGCGCATTACAACCGCCATGTGGCCATATGTTATAGATTTCTTCCTTTTAAAAGGAGTATGTTCTAGAGACTTATTTATCTTTCAAGTGCTTGCACTGTATATGTAGCCTTAGTTACTCTGAACACTTGAAAGCAAAAGGTACTAGTCAATGCTAATGAGAAATAGAAAAGGCTGTTCTTTTCTAGGTAATTGCATCATTTGCTTCTACTTAGACTACTGAGTTGTTTTACTTCTTTGATGTTTTTGTCCCCACCTCCACCCTCTGCAGTAAAGGCCGTATCTCCTGTTTGATCCACCTCAACTATTTTAACCAAATGACTAAGGCTCAAGTTCGTTGAGCCTCTTGGCAAGTAATTTCTCCCGTGCCAAAGAAGAAATAGGCAGCAAATTAGGAAAATCAGAAAAATACTACTAATAGGATCAAAATCTAACTAACTTGCCAAAGGGCAATAAAGTTGAACTTTAGCAGCTTAACAGTTCAGATAAAAAAAAAAAAAAATGCAGCATCAAACAGTCCCCTTTCTATGTCAGAAAAAAAATAAGCCAGGCATGGTGGAGCACTTCTGTAATCCCTCACACTCTGTCTGGAGTGTAAAGCAGGAGGATCACCAAGTTCAAGCACCGCCTGGGCAATTTAGCAACTTAGAGAGATCTTGTCTCAAAATAAAAAAGAAAAAGGGCTGAAGATGCAGCTCAGGGGGAACTCTGGGTTTAATCCCCAGAAAAGAAGAAAAGGAAGTAGGGAGGAAGGAAGGGGACGGACCTTAAAACTCAAATTGAATGCTTGAGCCTCTCCTTAAATGTCTTATCAATGATCAAACATTCAATACATTCCTCCCAGCAGGTAAGGCACTGAACCAACAACAGCGACACTCCTATGCATAGCCAGAAGCTATGCTTTTCCTTGTCAAAGTAACAGGGAACCAAAACCTTTCCAGAGATACAAATCTACCCCTTCATTAAGTGCAGACCTGGATCCAGTGTCCTAGAAATTATCAACTTGATTACTGCTTCTGGGGTTAAAATATTCATGAGTCCATATATACTAATCAAGGAACCAGCCGGCGTGGTGGTGCATGCCTGTAATCCCAGCACTCAGGAGGCTGAAGCAGGAGGATCGTTGTGAGTTTGAGACCAGCCTGGGCTACAAAGTGAGCTCAAGGCCAGCCTGAACTGCATGGCAAGACACTGTCTCAAAAAGACAAAAAAATGATAATAATAATAATCAAGGAACCAGCAAATGCTATAAAAGAAACCTAAGAAAAGTCATAAGTGGATCAATTTCACAAGTGAGCTTCAAATAATGAAAGAAAGTCTCTCTAATCCAAAATTCTATCTTTAAAAAAAATTAAGTAGGGATCAATAGAGACCAGAGAGTCTAATGATTAAACTGTTGTCTAGTAATATGGTTTTCTAGCTACTAGCATGCTTTATATATTTTACATCTAGTGATGTAAATACATTATATCACTTGCAAAAGATGCACTTGAGAAGGATTTAAGGGAACTACCATTCTATTACAGCTGTCTGATCTCCACATCTGTGAATTCATACCAATATGCAACCCCAGGAGGTAGTTCTGTATTAAGTGAAAGAAATCAGTTGAGTTTAGACTATGAATATTTGAAAACAAAAATTCTCATAAAGTTTCATGGTTTGGCTAATTATCAAAATTGCTTCCTCCAACAGAAAGGAAACTGTTTTCATCATCTGACGCCCATGAATTTTATTTTAAAAAAAAATTCATCTTTTCAGGCAGCCATCATCTGCAAAATAGTTTATATTTATTTGGAATACCCTACCTTCCAGAAATATAAGTTGTAGTAACTGTGCAAATATTTAACTTCATCTACAATTATTTCAGCCCAAACCCTAAGAAAAATCATTTTGATGCAACTATTTCATTTCACTCCCTGTACAGTTCAACATAAAGCCAGATGTTTTAGCGTAGTCCTCAGCTAGGTTCTGTTGCTACAGCAACGAAACTCTGCTACCTGTGGCCATGATTTGTTAAGAATTCCTCCAACCAGTAAATTCTGTGCTGTGCATTCATAAAACCAACAGAATGACTCTCAGCAAAGCGAAAATTAAGGCTTGATTTCCCACGTTTACCCACACACATATTTACAACATATATACACGTATGTACTGATACATAATTATGACTCTGCAAACTTCATCAAAAGAGTAAGACCATATCAAATTTTCATCATAAGATAGGAAAAACTACTATTTTACATCTCATTGAATAATTGCTTTGTTCCCCAAAATATATCCTTAAAGACAATAGAGACTATCAGAGAATTTAAAAATCAAGACATATATTAAAAATAAATTTATTATTTACAGCCAATCTCATACCAAAATAGAAAACAAAAAGACTGTGAGGTATAATCGCCTATCTGGTCCAGTAGGCGTGGCTTCAGTAGCTGATTTAGAGAATATGAACCTAAAGAATAGAGATAAAAATGTGGTCAGCACCACCTTCATTCACCAAACTGCCTCTGCAGGCTACTCACCCTCACTGGGGGGCTCCAAGCTTGCACCCGAGGCTGCTGTCCACCCTGGGAGCTCTGCAGATCTTTTGCACTACAATTAGCCACAGTGCTGCCCTGAGCCCTTAATGCATTTGTGCAGTTGGTCCCACTGCCCCCACCAGGGCCTGGTTTCCAAGGCCTCTGCTTGATGCCATCCAGAAGTCTGACCAGCAGGATGTTACTGGGAAGCTCCTCGACACCTGAGCCGACCAGTGTCCTGCACTCCGGGCATCTCAGTTCATTCCGTGAACCTACAATCCCCAGCAAACATCGTTTGCAAAACGTATGCTGGCAAGGCAAGACCTTTGCGGAGGCATCGAGGCGTTCCAGACACACAGGACACTCCAAAAGATCCAACAAGGCTGATTCATCCATCTTGATCTACTTTACTGAGAAAAGGGCTTCAGAAATGGTCATAGTTGTGTGCAGTCCTTAAAATGATTCATGTAACATCCATCTCAGACTTTGTCCTGGAGACAAGGGGAGAGAGGAGGAAGGAGAGAAAATTAGTGTTAGTTATCTGGGGGAAAAGTTCACAGAGAAGCAAGGAACCAAAAAGTACACAAAAGTGCTTCCTCTGCATACTGTAGCTTTGCTCTGGAATGTGGTTCCTAAACTCCAAAGTCAACAATTAAAAAAACAAAACAGGCTTTTAAAATAACCATAATTAATCCCTAAAGATATCCAGAAGCTCAGTGCACAGAAGTAGCTATCAAACACTGCACAAGATTCCTGCAATAAACAGAATTTACGAAATACATTTTTTAAAAAAACATAATTTTTTCAGCTCTAAAAGTGCTATGAGTTAGTTGCCTTAAAAAAAAAATCCTCAACTCATAGAAGGAGGTTCAGAAGCAACTGAAAGTTTCCTCCACCTGAAATTACTTTTAAATCCACCGAAGTTCTCAATTTTTTAAACTACTTTATCGTTTAGGAAACCATGCCTCGAGTGATCCTGTGGTAAATGATCCAATATTAAATACATATGTTCCTCTCTGTCTTAAAAATAGAATTATTTTAATCTTGTCCAACCAAAAAGATTGTCAATTCTGAAGGCTACAACTAAGGTTTGCTTGAAAAGGGCTAAAACATAATAGCACTTTTCACAGCAGCGGCTGACAAACTCTGAAATGGATTTCTGAACTGCCTACCCGGATCTCATTCAGAAAATCGTGCAAAACGATCACTAAAAGAATTCGACAATGGAATGCTGGGCTGAAAACAGCAGAATATGAAAACGGAGCCATTCAGAAAAAAAGCATTTAAAGCAGTTACTGCAATGCTCCCCACACACCCACCCACCCGCCCTTCACCACTACCCAAATAAATGGCAATGTGAATGCCCGGGAAAAGGGGCGACGAGGCTGGGGTGCCAGCATTAACAGCTGTTCCTAAGTCGGGGCGGGGGAGCTCCAGGGCTGCGCCCCTCTCGCACGTAACTAAGCTCAGGTAGTGCCGGCCCCGCAGGGGGCGCGGCGGGCGCTCGCCGCAGACACACCCCGGAGCCAGGTGTCGCGGCCGCGGGCACAGCTCGGTCCCGGGCTGGGGCTGGGGCCGGGGCTGGGACCGGATGGGTCCCGGAATGGGGCGCTCACCCAACAGCCCCATCGCCGCCCCCCTTCAGGATAGGCCGAGGACAAAAATTCCCCCACACGACTGCCGGAAGTTTTTAAGGACTTAAAAAATAAACACGCAGCCTTAAGTTGCGAAACTCGGCCCCCAAAGTGCACGGGAAACCATCTACCGCCCCGCCGAGAGGAGGTGAGCGTCCCCCGAGAGCGAGCCATCCCGCGGGGCTGCGCCCCGGGAGACGGCGGCGCGGAGTCAAGCAGGAAGCCCGCGAGGCCGCGGGCGCCGTGCCCGCAGCTCCG